ATGTTTTTTCACTTTTGTTGCATGATCTGTCAGTGCAACGCATCCACGTGAGCCATAGTTAATTAAGTCACTACAATACACACAATAAGCTTTGCCTGCTACGTCAAAGCTTATTGTCCAAGAGCTTCTGTAACTTCGTCGAACTTGGAACCAATTTTAACCTTTACAGTGACTTTTCTGTCAAGCCAGTCCAATCGGAATTTATTCTTGACATTTGAGTCAATTTCTAGGATTAAAGACTCCTGATCTTTCGTCAAAAATTTCATAATTCCGCTCAAAACGATCCCAGAACAATGAATTTGCGAGACGAACAGGCCGCCATGAATCAGGTAAAACAATATGTTACATGCAATTTGATTGGTCCAATCGCTTGTAGTTAACCAATCGCTGGGCCGTTTATAATCGAGCTAAGACTTCCGCAACAAACAATGCCTTCAGTGATCTGATTAGTTGAAGCTTTCATACACGTCCAATCGCAGAGCTGTTTACAAACGGAAAACGGAGAGACTGTTCGGGAGAGCTCGTGAAAACTCGACGATAAGGTACCTGACCGCCCCTAAAATTTTCTCAACGGATTTAGACGATTCACAAAAATGATCAATTTAAGAAATAAAACGGCGGATTTCCGCGGATCCGCGGAAAATTGCCATGTATGAATTGTGGCATAATTCATCCGGCGCTGCCTCCCAGTCTTACTAACGCTGTGTTTGCCATCGAATCCACGCTGCTCGTAACTTCACTTTGACTCTGGCTGTAAACTTTTCTTCCGTCTTAAAAATCATCATAGATAGCCATTTCTGTCCATTACCATGGCAACCAACCACAACAGCATAAGGCGACATCTCGCGCACTGCTGTGCGAATCGCTACCATGCTGGTCTCCTTCTCTACAGTATGGTCCCCCGGGATGTCGAAAGCAGCACCTCTTTGGGCTGGATGTGTTTGTCTGCAATCTTTTTGCTGTTCTGTATTTCAAAATGCAAAGTATGCTTGTCCCTCATCACTTACTGTAGCCCAAACAGGTAAACTAAGGATGTGGGCGATTGGCTGAGAGAACAGTCGGGAATGGAAGCCAAGTGAAGCCGTCAGAGTGGCGGAGTAAAGGATTTAAACCTCCAAGAAAGTGTCTTTATTTAATCTAAAGTAGAAAATTACACTTTTTACTGCAGTAGGAGCAGAAGTTGGCCAGCTTTTCCTTGTAATCCGCCGAATGTTGCTGCGCCACCGTCATCCTTTACCGGAGGGATGATGGTGCCGTTTCATAAATCAAAAGCACCAAGCACCATGGATTAGTTCATCTAGAATTCTCTCGCCGCTGCTCGATTCCCATGGTCCTCCGTGTAACTGAAAGCTTGCAGTTTAAACTGTGCTTCGTAAGCGTGTCTCTTCATGGGTGCCATTTTCGGGATGTTGTTTTGCACAATGCACCTACCGGCACTGTTTACACCTACAGGGGGCGTGCCTATAGCATCCTCTTTCACGCCTTCATTTCCCACTCTTAACATCCGCGTGTTATCCTCAGTGACGTCCGCCTTTCCTCTTTATCACAGAGATGAAAGTGGACTTCCCTGAAAATTCCGGAAAAAATAAAAAAATATATATACTGTGTGTGTGTGTGTGTGTGTGTGTGTGTGTGTATATATATATATATATATATATA